ATACTAGGGTAGATGTACTATTATCTCTCTTTCTTAGTTTGGTGGTCTTCATTGTTATTTCGACCCTGAATATATCCTTTTAACTTGACCTAAGTCTATTTTCTTACCTCTTAACTCTTCACTAATAACATATATATTCCTATGATAAGTCCCTGTGTGATGCGATTGTTAGAAATGTGTTGTGCAAATACATTACATGATTCAGACAAATTACGTCTTCTTATTGCTTTGTCTAAATACTTATTTATTCTCAAGTGTGCATCAGCTTCACGATTAGAAGTGATGTTTGTAATGATCAAGAAAATGGGTAGGAAGGTTTCTTTTAACAAGTTTCATATAATACATTTCATTAAGATGTACGGCTAAGTAACAGTACTGTGTGTTTGGATAGGACCGTGGCTATCACCGAAGTAAAACCAAAATTATACATTCATGAGTAAACTGTTGTGAATCCCAACCAGTGTGATTTGAACTTAAATTTACTATGTCATTTAATTCCTCTTGTCAGATATTTTCACATACCATTGAACACGGTTTAAGAAAATAAATATCTTCGGTGAATTCTCGTCAGGATTTATAGTTACACAGTAAAGTATTAGTCATAGACATTTGAAACATTGTGGATTAATAGTAAAAAAAAAATGTAGATATATGGAAGATACTCCAATCTTGTATCGAAACAAGATGGGCACTGAGGTTCTTGTCAAAGCGTTCAAGATTGCACATCCATATATATATATATATATATATATATATACCGTTTAAAGGAGACACAGCCACTGAGTTACTGGCATCGAAACTCTGAAAAACAATAGATAAAACAATCTTAGACCACAAAAGCCGCCCATGCTTAGCGCCCCTAAAAACCTACTCTACATGAATCTTCAATTCAGTGGAGATATATCTGCAGAAACACTAAAAAATCGACTGTCGTGCTCACTCAAGAAGACCTTCTTCTCAGCTGAACTACGACTAACTTTCTCCACAAAACCTATGATCCATGTGAACGTTAAGCATAAGCTACCACTGCTGGCCCCATCATTGTGTATTTATCAATTCACCTGCTCGTGTGGAGCCAGGTATGTCGGCCATACCCAGCTTTCGCTTTCCAAGAGTATCACCGAACACTTACCAACATGGTTTAACAAAGGAGAAAACCGATGTCCCCGCAGCTCCATCTTAGAACATCTGATAGAATCCGGATACCAAGCTACACCTCAAACAAACTCCAAAGTCGTCTACAGAGTAAGAAGTAGTCTTCCTAAAGGTGTACGAATCAGACTTCTTCAAACTGCAGAAGCAATGGCGATTCACTTGCTACGCCCTGAACTCTGCATACAGAAGAAGTTCGTTCAATCACTACACTTGCAATGGACTTAGTCTATCTCATTACCCGAAAAGTAAATTCTACCTAATATTTTTATTCTTCTGTCTCTTCATTAGCATTATTTTGTCTTCTTAATTGTAATATTTTACATTTTCAAATTTCTCGTTCTCTACCCCGACCCGATTTAATTTCTACACCTCACTACCACTGTTACTGTCTTGACCAACGCTCAATTTCCACTCATTTGTGTTACTTCATCCAACTTATTTGCTCAATTTCAGTTCTAATTTAAATGGCATTATTATCTATTCCACTACTACTTAGTCTCAACCTGAAATTACCTCTGTTGCTACCCTGACCTAAGTTGAAACACTTTAGTCAATTATATTACGTCATCTAACTTGCTACCTGGATCTTACTTTAGTTGCTGTATAATTAACCTTGTTTCTATATTAGATCATTCTTTTATTACCTGATCAATTATCTAAACTTGACAAACTTCATGTACACACACACACACAAATAATTATATTTAAATGCGATTGTAAGGCTATGTGAATGAATTCGCCGAAAAGAGTCTCTTCTCTGAGCGTCTTCTCTTTTTCATATGACTCAATGTGGATTTTCAAGCTACAACACTATGTTCCAAATTCATCACTCGATGCATAATTTTAATGCCAGTGAAAGATAAGCAACCCAGTCTGCCCACTACAATGTGCATTTAAATATTTGACTGTTCTTATGGAGATATTTACATGGGCAAAACGGCTCGACGAGCCCAGTGTTACCTGCTAGACCATTGTTCAACATGATTAGGTAACGGGTAGTAAGGTGAATCAAGAGTTCCATTATGGCACACCTTATGCATACGGCTTGCAAGATTGATAAAATTCAGCCTCTACTATTCTATACATGGTGTAACTTCAATTCCCGAGACTTCTACTCCTTCGATTGCAAAGCAAAGATGAGTCATTCGTCGTAATAAAGTTCCAACTCAGTCTCTGTGTTCAGGAAAAAGTTTGTTCAGTTCCCCTGTCTCCCATGGCCTTCACGCATAACTTAGAATAGTTACCTCTCCCCATAACACTTGATAACTGTAAATATTATTTTTACTCATATTGCTAACTTTATTGTCTATATCTGTACTGTGCTATTGTTGCATATCTTAATCCTAGTTTCACAATTCATTTATCAGCATTATTATATTATCCAGTCATATGTGAAAGTGTTTGTTCTTGCACTCCTACTAGTGTACAGGTTCTTTTTACACTCTCATGACTACCAAGATTGTGTAAACGCTTCGGTGAATTAATCCTTTTTATCAGTATTATGATCACCACGATTGTTAGCCAGCAACTCACACCCATGAACGTTGATTCTATTTCAATTAATCAGTCCATAATCTTTCAAATATTCATCATTAATATTTTAAACTGAAACAGTTAGGCTTCATGACAATTTACCGAAAATACGTATTTGCTTAGACTGTCTTCTATCGTTATCATAATAGGAATGTTTAAATTATAGTTTCTAAACATGCTATTCGTCTAACTGCTTGTTTCTAAGCATCTTGTTTTAGGAATTTTCAACCTCCCTTTTACGCATTTAGAAAAAACAACAGATTGAGTGAAGAAATATGTTCCTTCTCAATTAGTTCTTCATCATCGGCTGGCTCTACACTAATTTATAGTTGTTTTTTTTACATCAAAATGTTCTATTTTTACCAATCAAGTGGTTATTTTAGTTAATCAGGTTTAGGCATAAAACAAGGGTGAAATTAAGAGATTAAGAGGTCAACTAACAGAGGTTAGCAACAGAATATCTAAATTTCGAAGGAGGAGTGAAGATTTGTTAATTATTGCATTCAAGATAAGTTAATTCATAGATGTCAGCAATAAGTCATTACACAGTCAAGAAATTTGTAAAATAGCAATGATGACTAAGAAGAATAGGAGGACTCAGTAGGATTACGTCAAATGCAAACAAGTTAACAGAATTAGCTAGAATCGTAAAAACTAACAAAGTCAAGGGATAGTTACAAGGAGAAGGGGAGGGGAAAGTTTTTCTCAAAACTTAAAGCATATTATGTAGTCGGCCATGGCAAAGAAAAGGACTGTACAAACTTCTCTTGAACACACAGACTTGACTTGTTCAGATGAATTCCGATTGCCTCTGCTGTATGTAAATGTCGTACTTGTAGACCGTGTGACAGGTTGAGTGAAACATGATAAACAACTTTAAAGACTTTGTTAGAGTCGACTTGATGTCCAGTCAGTATCGACGAGATGAGTGTGTATTTAGATGCGTATGGCTATATTCGGACTTTTGAAAGCCAGGATGGGAGGTGTTCAGAGGTTTGACGATGAACTCGCCTGATTGTAAGCCCAATGTAACTAGCTCCACACGAGCAGTTAAACTGGTGAATACACATGGAGGAGGCGAAACAGGGCAGTTTGATTTCATTTCTTCAAACTAAGTATTAGTTGGCTGGTGAATATAGAGCATAACGTAGCTGCGTTGGAAGTGTTTTGAAGGCCTTTCTCAGACGGTGCGATAAGAACTCGCTATTGATACCACTCGTGAATTGTAGTTTTAGGAAGACTGATTTTCTGAAAACAGTGGGCACCTGAGACATTTTACTTTCTTAGTTCACGTGTTTTTTCATGAATTTAGTAGGATATCCATGTCTACTTGGTAGACCACCAATATTATCGAGTTTTCCGTTCATCGTCTCATATAAACAGATAACTCTAGCCCGTTGAACCAGAAACCCAACCAGATTACGGTTGTATTGTAGAAGTAGGAAGCTCAGGAAGTGAGTATATTGTGCAGTGGAAGTAGGTTTCCGATGCAGACGTCTACATATTGTTCCGTCTGTTCGCTTGACCAGTAGGTGATCGGAAAACGGGATAGAGCCATTTTCGTCTTCTTTCCTTTATTGAAGGTTATGTTGGGATGTGCTTTATTTAATTTATACAACATGTCCTTAGTGCCACTTTCGCTCTTCACAACTATACATGCATCATCGACTTCAATGCCTTTCTCAGTTCTGGAAATCACTATATTTTCTTTTGGTTTGAATTTCTTTCTATTTCTTCTTTAAGAGTTTGCTGAAGATTTGACTTTGTTTATAAAAAGAAGAATGTTAGTTTTTATGAATAAATGAGTATAAATTATTATTTCTCCTCTCGCTGTTAGCTTCACCACGTTAGTATAATGAAACTCAGCTTTCGATTCTTCCCTCCAGAAAAGTGTAGTAACTAGTCTCAGAAATTTATTTGTAGAGGTCTTTTTCCATACATATGCAAGAATAACAGGATTTCAGAATTGGTCCTGTCTTTAATTTTAAAATTATTGGCGGTAACGTAATGTCACAAAGTTTATCCAAACTACGACATATAGGAGAAGGCATGCTATTTTACACAATATGTAGGTGTAATTGAAATATTTGGATAATTACTAAACTAGCTTTTGTTAACGATTTTGATATGTCTGCCAATTAGATATGCAGTCTGAATGCGAGTTACTTGGTGCTATCATTCGCCATAATCTGAAAATGATGTTGGAATTAGCAGAAAACTCTGCGCCTAGATTTCTTGATCATAGAAAATCATCTGCCGCAATGCATGCATACAAACCTGAATATGAATAATAAGTATAATACAGAAAGATATATATATATATATATATATATTTCTGTATTGATTACTTCCAAAGTAGATCAAATTAAATAGAACTAAAATGAAGTGGTCATCACTGTCATGATCCGCTTGATTTGTTTACAGGGTGAACAAAGTTGTATTAATTAACTTATTTTATACCGTCTTTAAACAAGATAAAATAGGGAAATATTTTCGCGAACAATATAGTATTAGAACATTATTTATTACATGTTGCATAATCCACGTTTTATCATCCAGTAAATAGAGGCACTCATCAGATAATTCTGATAAGTAGTTGAAAAAAATTCTGCATTGAAAGGTATATCAGCGTTTTCTCTTTTCAGAATTTCGAAATATTATACACTAAATATTTTCTATAAACCTGGACAAAATAAATAAAGTAAAACTAGAAAGCATATCAAAGTATGTTTATATCAGTAAACTATAAATACGTAATTGTGTTAACTGAGATTAGATTCACTGCAGCGCGTTAAAGGGACAATTGATACTCACTGTATAACTCCTACCTTTATGTGCATGCAGCTATGCATACAAAATACTACACTAGTACAACTACGAAAAGTGAAATGTCAAGACATAAACGATATCTTGAGCACAAACAGTGACCAACTACAAATATAAACATTCAAGAACATTATAATCGTAATGTGACATCTTCAGAAAGAGTTTATACCTCAATCGTTCATACACAATTAAAAACAACTGAAAAACTTGTTGCCATCTGCATAGCGAAGAATTCAGTTTTACTTATTTTTTGCAGTTAGATGTACTGATAATTCGATAATTAGGTGCTTCATTATAGTGTAAACATTGTCAACACAGGGGAAGAAACCTACTCTGGTACACTTAGTACAGAGATTGCTAAGGCTGAGAAACCACCTAAGAAAGTAACAAATAGGTATACATAAATCCCAAGGTATACAAGCACACCAGGAAACATAATCGAAGAGACAAATATACATAATAATATTTAGAAGTTATCACTGATTCATGCTGTTAATTCAATTCACCCAAAGTACATATTTATAATTATACAATTTGCGAAACTTTATTACCTTTCCGACACGGATCTTTCTTCTGTCTCCATAAGATCAATATCTGCAAGATCATTGTCTATATGGTACTTCAGCATTTCGAGTGTTTCCATGAAAAACTGATAGGAAAATAAGAAAGTCTGTATTGCGTTATTTGCAAAACCATGTTAATCGAATAAAAACAGTCTTTTCTCAGTGTCTATTTATGTGCCTGTATGTAAGTCTGTGGTTCAATGTAAGATTGTTTCAAAGCCAAGTAGGAGGTCTGAGTCAAATCGCCAGCCGACTTATTCCTAGTTCACCAGTCGAAGGTAGTCTCGAACAAAGAGTGGAGGTTGAACAGGAGGCTAGCAGCTTCATCCTGCAAAAATAACACCACTACCACTGAAACTTCATGGCTTGAAGCCCAATGTTCCACTTAGAACACAAGGAATGAAAAAGACTGAAATACATTTTGCTGTATCTGTGTAATTTAGGCTAATTAAAATATCTAAGAAAAGTGAAAGATATATGGTTAGTTTACTTCCTAACTCAAAAAGAATCACATTAAATTCTATAACAATATGGATTGGTTTTTAAATGTTTGATTAGAGGCCTCACTTTTCTCTGACACTTCATCGGAGATTTACAAGTAGTGTAAATCTGTAAAGTGAAAAAAATTCACAGCTCTTCAGTGTCATTGTTTTTTTTTCTTGACAACGATTAGAAAAAGTATTCAGGATGAATGTTTTGTTCAACTGGACACCCATAAACTGAATTTGTTAACATCCAACTGTGTGGTAGTGTTTCAAATCAAACTTGAAATCAGCATCTATCGTTTCAGGCATTATCGAATCTTTAGTGATGTTTCGTACCACAAGAACCACCTTATATGATGAAGGTTACTAATGCTTGTGTTATATGTCGTGTACTAAAGTAAGTGAATAAAAGTATTACCCAATCATTGTAGAAATATCTCACTACTTATTTTGACAGACTTTCCTAAAACCGCAGGGTAGGCTTCTTCCAGAAGTCAACGAAATTTCCTGAAAATCCGAGATGGTTTGTTAGGTATGATTACAGAGTAGGAATGCTGTATTCGTCAGAACAGTAAATGACAACACAAATACGCAAACACCAATACAGAAAGCACTATGTATGTGATTGGCGAAACGGAAGAGAATGACAATCATGTTAATCACGACAAAGTTTAACAAGCAAATTATAATCGAAAACACCAAATTACGCCATTATAAGTCGTCAAAGTTGACAGTTTAATTTTGTAAACAGGTTAGCAGATTGCTCCAGTTCACAATTTTAAAATAAAACAATGTCCTATGATATCAAAGTTTTAAGTGGTACATCAATTGACTTAACTTCAACGAGAAATTAACTTTAGTGTTTGAACAGGTTATAACATTACACTCATAAGAAGGTTTTCATCATGCTTAACACCAAGTGACGTTTACACTGAAGTCAGTAATTCAAAAAATCTAAGCGATCACTGAACGATACAGTTTCCTTTTAGTCTGATAGTCAAATTTAGGCGTCTCAGATATCTGGATCTGGTGAAGTGCTTGAAGACTGTCATTATCTTTAAACTCCACAACATACTTATATTCTTTAAAAATATATTTAAAAATAACTGTAATTGTACGAAACAAATTATCAGTTATAATCAGACATCGTTAAAGTTAATAAACGTGAGCATTTTAAATTACAGTACACATTAGTATTATTTACATAAAACTGACTCACTATATTCTCATTTATCATTTCATGATAAGTCGTTAGAGGAAGACATTCATTCACAGTTTTATCAGCCTCACTAATTGAACAGACTTTATCCAGTAGTACGTCAAATGCCATATCTAATAATTATTAAGAAGAGTTAGGTTGCAGCTGTCACGAAATTCAAAGCATTATTTTAAAAACTTATGAAGTCTAATATTTGCCTTAGAGAAGTACTAACTGTTTTCCTTTTAATTAAATTAATAACTCCCAGTGAAACATGAAATAAAAATTTCCGCAAAGAAATTTCTTTTTTCTATGAGTTTATTTCTATAACAAAGGTGGATCTTGTTTGAAACTATTGGTCCCGGGTTCGAGTCTCTGTAGGAATACCATCACTCTCTGGGGATGAAAAGTATATCCAGGTGACGAGTCCCAAATACTGTAAGTCACTATCTACTAAATAACACCAAGTGTGAATCTTTTACCGTAAAAATGAAAATTCAATCAGTCTCAAGACATAATACAACTCATCTATGTAATAATCTCTGCAAAGACATTATTTTACCCTATAGACTCCGAACTGTTGTTAATCCCAAGATATTTGGATGCAAATTTTAGTGTTCGTGGAGAATAATTTTTTGAAGCAGTGCAAAAAATGTAACTGTTAATTTGACAATTCTCGTTTCAGTCAAATTTTTTGGGTTTCCTGACAGCGGCTACAGGAAAGACGGATGTTGTCTACCTTCAACCAATATATTTCCTAGGGAAAAAGGTAGAAAACGGTAGTAATTTATCACTTTGCAATAGTTTGTCAAATACTTGACTGACATTGTCAGGATTCAGTGAACTAGCTTTATGAGTTCTAAAAACCTCACATATGCACACAACATTTACCACTAAACTGTACTGTAGATAAAAGCCATCTGTGCTGAGATGCAGATACCATAGGCCAGACAACTGTGGTTAAAACAACGCAAGATAACTTCATTCGCTGAAAGCCAACCCTACAACTGAGGGTTAGTAGTGTGCCATTTATTCACCTAGTTGACATAATTTCATACATTTATTTCCCTTTATGAATTTGAATAAAGCAAAAGCGACGTTCTGTGCAAAACGAGGTCGTACCATCGTTTTTTTCGTCGGTATCTTGTCAACTATGTACAGCCGAAAGAAAGTTTTGATTTCATCCACAGAACAGTTCCATCATACTCGCAAATATGGTACTATATTATTCCACAAGAGACTCCAAAACTTAATAAACAGTTCTCAGAAGTTAAACTTGCATAGCCCATACCCAGACTGTTCAAGTTTAAACAAAAAACAAAAGCTTCGATGCAGTGGAAAAGGAGTTGAGTAATTAGGACAAGAAGTGGGGATAGATAAGATGATAAATAACTAATAACTAATATTGTTGTTGATAAATATTTGAATCCTTCTAAGAAGTCGCCTAAAGTCATATTCTCAGATACTGAACATCCTATTTATTTGCAACTTCTTCCCTGTACCTCTTCGGGTAAAACCATAAGAAATTCTATAAGAATTCATGCTCGTACGGCTAAATATAAAAATTCAACCATAGCCTATTTTTCACGAGGGTTTAGCAAAAGGACGATTTTCAAGGAAAAAAACTACAATCTCCAAGTAAACAGCAGCTTATTCCTAGCATTATTACTGCATAGAATATTCCTCTGTTAACTCTTTTTTTTATTTTTAAAATCAGACAGACTTCTGAAATGTGAAGTGTTGATAATTCCATTCAGTACAATTACTACTCATTGAAATGAAGTGATTTTTATCATAGTTAAATTCACTTCATAGGATTAAAATTATTACTTCAGCTGAATGTGGTAATTTGAGTTATTTTTTTTATTCATTCACGTTCCCAGTGAAACATAGGACTTCAAGCTAGAGGACTGAAGTATTTGTAGAAATGTTTATGGCTATAGAGGCAGTCAGAAACGAACACCTGAGGACATAATGCTAGGTGTGCAGCTGTCCCTGACTTCCACAGTATTTAAATTCCAAGGGAAAATATACAAAAATACTGAGGGAGTAGCCATGGGATCACCAATATCCCCGGTTGTAGGAAATATATTCATGGATAGGTGTGAAAACATAGCAATTGAAACGTTCGCCCCCACCCAAAAAGTATGGTGGAGGTATGTAGATGACACATTCACTGTACTTAGAACACAAAATATAGGATAGATTTTTCGAACACATTAACTCAAAGGTGTTGGCAATTCAATTCACTTATGAATTGGAAATTCAGGAAGGGAAACTGCCAATGTTAGATTGCAGTGTAAAACGGAAAGAAGATGGGAAGCTAAACACTAGTGTTTACAGAAAACCCACACATTCAAACAGATACTTGGATTTCCGATCATCCCATCCTATGTCAGTAGAAATAGGATTGGTGAAATGTTTAAATGACCGAGCACAAAGTTAAGTAGTATCAAGGAAAACCTAAGACAGGAAATGATACATATAAGAGAAGCCTTGGAACTTATTAATTACCCAGATAAATTGGTCAGAAAGTATGTAGAGAAAAAGGTAAAAATAAAATAAATCATCATAGTAGTGATAGTGATGATAATAATAGTGATAATATTAATGACGACATGCAAGTGAAATGTGCGCAAGATAATGACAACACCAACAATAAGGAATCTAAATCATCAACAGTAATTCCATGCAAGGAAGGAACCTCGGAAGCCTTACGCAGAATTCTTAACAAGGCAGGAATATAAGTGGTATTCAAACCCACAAACTCAATTAGAAACAAGCTTTGTCGGTTGAAGGATCCTGTGGAGCCTTGAAAACAAAACAATTTAGTCTGTCTAATACCCTGCTAGAATGATTATCAGGTCAAATACATAGGTCAAACTGGTAGAACAGGGCAGTCAGACTAGCCGAACATAAAATCCTAGCAAAATCTAGATTGGTTGACCCGAATAAGATAAGAAATCTAGAGGATAGTTCAGTTATAGCACTACATGCAGTTACACACAACCACACATTAGGATGGGATAGGGTGACAGTTTTAAAATCTAATGTCACAGGGTGGAGGGAGGGAGAGATTGATAACAGAAGCTTTGTTTATCGAATCTACTGCAAATACGTGTGGTAGAAATGATTCAACACCTGTCCCAGATATCTGGAAAATTCCACTACCCAAACGACAAATAGGAGAGGAGGACAAAGGAAACTATAAAACTCAAGTTTCGAAGTCGTGTGATTATAATTGATATGATTATGAACAATAAATTTTGTTCGAAACATTGTCATCCAGTAAGTAATACTGTTTCACTGTGTGATACATCTAATTAACAAACTAATATGGAATTACAGAAAGATTCAAACTTATAGTTCTCTCAGTTTAGTAGTCATTCACCTGTTAGGGTTCCGATTGAAAGGAGTACAGCTGAGGCTAAAGATAAAAAATACCAATGAAATATGCTAAAAGCTTTAATTATATATGCATATAATATATATTGAAATAAAAGAAGAGTTCACCAACTTTTTAATGTATTTTCTTCAACTGGATTGCTAGTATACGTTCCGGTAATCGGACCAGGAACTGCAATGGGTAATAGTACATCAACAGCCATAGACGCTAATACTTCACCAGGGTTCTTTCTCGCTATACCATCAATCTACAAAAGATACTGCTTTTTGTTTAATTGTAAAGTTCAGTTTTTTTCATTCAGTGGATAACTTAAAAATACTAGTTCGTATATTCTGCAATTACAATATACCACTTTGAGATATTATTTCTAAAGTAACTAGTAATGTTAATGTGCTTTAATCAAAGTCAATCAAACGTATACATCAAAGAAAACTAAAAGCTGACGATAAAAACGAAAATATTAAGCCACAGTAGATCCTTTTAATGTCGAATGTAAGTCCAATCATATCAAGAACCAAAACAATGTAGGCGACGATATGGTCGACTGCTTATTTTTCTACCTCTGATTTTCCAAGAACAGATTTTCTACTACCGTGCCTTCCCCTGTCTTTGGAACCGAGAAGAGAACCATATTACTATCATCGATATGCACTTCTCTGAGGCGTTTGTTCTTCAACCCTTGAAGCTTCTCTAAAAAACCCAATGAAATCAAACGTAACTGTTAACCGAAAAGATAAAGATTCAAATATACGAAAGAAAGTTAGCCTCCTGGTTACTGTAGAGAAGCCTTCTTAGTGAGTTCAGATAAGTGTAAAAGTAATATTAAAGACTTAGTGTAAAGTTTATTTAACGCTACAGTTTGTTTGTTTTTTATTTAAGTGAAAGACTGATAAAAAATGATTTACTATTAATGGGTGATTTAAAAAGATTTGAAAATATTGCTGAAAGAAAAACCTAAAAATTCGTATGATTGAACTGTATTTTTAAGTGGTGATGATTACTTCGGAATAAGTTATCTTTTGGAAAAATCAACTAAATGTAATAGAATTTAGTAGCTTAAGACAACTGTCAATAGTCATAATGAGTGTAATTGGAATGGTGCAAACTACACGGAACTTCACTTCTTTGATACTAGTATATGCTTCAGAGTTAACTGAATTCTATGTCTTTACCATTTACTTTTGTCGAATATAGAGAAAATAAATTCCCCCGGAGGCACAATGAACATATAGCTGTTATGATTATACTATGTAGGAGAATATGCATACACTTTATAATAACAGATCCCGTACAGTCAGCCAGTGGTTTAAAAATTTAAATCACTATCCTTTGGATTATGAAATTGGGAGAGTCCTGTTTTGTTCATTACTATCAAAAAATAGCCATAATTATACCTGAAAAGCAACTAATTAAATCAATATTTTAGTTCACAGTCTTATGTTATCAGAAAGACTGTTTTAAGTGGTAGGCTATTCAACAAAAAAGTGACAATTAGTTATTTATTACAATCAGATCGCGACTTTTCATATATTTCTTTCATTTCATAGACGTGAACAGCGCTAAAACTATTTAAAGTATACACTGCATGTTAATCCGATCGATAATTTTGTCACCGAATTAAAATTTGGCTCAATTTTTGTAATTCATACACTTCGATATTATCTAGACAGTGAGCAGTCAAAAGGAATCCTAAAAGTAAAAAGAAGTATGTTCTTGCCCTATTCACGCTGTAAAACCCGGAAAATGATAACAGCAATGATAGGCGAGAACTCAAACAAAAGCCTCCTATTTAAATCACAAGCCAGATTGTTGTTAAATGATAACAATTAGTTACAGAAATTTAGAACAATCCTTTAACTAAAACCATTCAAGTTATTTGTTAAATTACCGTTTTCAATAGATGTAATTGTAAAATTTCAATTTGGAGGTTGTATTCTTTGCTAGCCAACTCTGCAATCAATTCACCTACCGTTTCTTCAGAAATGCTGATGAAAATCTGTTGCTCTTCCATTATATACTTCGCCTGATGAAAATGGAACATGAAGTATGTGAACAAATTACATAAGTAATAATTTAAAATTTAACACTCATGAGTGTACATTAATATACATTATATAGGTAGGATATATATAAATAACATAATTGATAGTTTTACGAGTTGATCACGGATTGATATCAGTTAGAAAACCATTGAAAACCAGGGAGTACTGGACAGCTGCTGTTTCATCCTAGTTTGGGAATCATCGGCAGTACGCACCCACTGGGTTTCGAACCCAGGACCTTCCGGTTACAAGGCAAGCTCGTATACCATTCATAATTATTTTTCAGCCGCAGGTTATTAATTAAATCAAATAACTTGAATGTGATTTTCATTTTAAAAATATCATCGTTTGTACATTAGCACTTACATATGTTGACTTAAAAGTAATATGTTTGTCAGTTAAGGAAAGTGTTGAACACTTGTTACTGGAAAAGGAAATCAAGATGAATTACAAACCACAAGTGTACCGAGTTAAGTTTATAACCTCTACATATTCAAAAGTATGCAACTGATGTAGCCTGTTTACAATCAGTTTTAGATAAGTCAAAACAAGGAGAATCGTAGTTATGTAGTTTAATCAGAAGAGTGATCATATTCTGCAAACTATCCTTTTATTTTTTTCATTTAAATTTCTAAAGGGAAATCAACATAAGAATTGTTCAGACTTATGAGACATTCTTTATCTCAGTGTCCAACCGAGAAAAAGTGAAACTGAGAGAATAATGTTAAAGTCTTTTATTGGTATTATTTCTGCTATCTGTTCTTTGTTTCAACTGTATATCTCCATCGTGCTCTGTTCCCCACAACTACTTTTAGATGTCGTCAAGAATTCACAAAAGCTTTCTTGTCCTCTTCATGTGGCTTTCAGAAGTTTTCATTCGAGCTTCATTCTAGGACTTCGGGTGTGATGTTATCTGAATCTCTACTGTTAAAAAAAACTGAATTACCAACATCGTAAGCATATAACAGTACAAGACATTTTGACAGTAATTAATTCCGTGTTCCTAGCTCCTCCCTAGAATTCCCTTGTTACAATACATATATATATATTCCACCAATGAATGAATTTTTGATCGCTAAGCTTCATTTTCTGGAGATAGTTGCTTTCAGTTTACTATCATGAAATATTTAACTTAGGGTATAAATTACTTAAAGATTATCTGGATAGAAATTGTCACTAGTTTACACGAATTTATCAGTTTTGAATGATTGAGTGAGTCCTTTCTGTATCTAAAGTTGAGTTTTCTCTCTCAGATTTACTGATATGAACCTAAGTATCATCTTTTCTGTATGCTGTTGCGGTTATTAGTTTTGTGAATGGTTCAGTTTCATTCAAGGAGAATATTAGATGGTCGGAAGCAATCGACAGGAAGCCTAGGACCTAGGTTTCGTGCTAGTTGGCACTCGTCAGCAAGGCGTATCTGCAACCTTGAAGGAACTCATGTCCCTTCTGAGATTCGATCGCCGATTGCCTCCAACGATCTAATGCCATCAAATCAATGTGCACCGTGATGGCGAGCTACGTAGAATGGTGGTTACATTAAAACCTAACTGATAGAATTCAGTCTACACCAATCAGAGGACTAGACGCATCACACTAGTTACTAGTATCAAATCAAAGGAGAATATTACTGGTGAACTAACTAAATGGTTAGGTGAGAGTGAAGGTCTGTTTAAAGAAAGCAATGCAAGAACCACATTGAATTCATTTCACCTTTATTTTAATGTAAAAAATGGAATCGAAGCAACATATTAAAAGTTATGAAAAATACAATGATAGAAATTCGAGAGCTGAATTTTATCGACAAAACAACTAGGAGGAATACCAGTTTCTGACAATGTAATTCTAACCAGTAACTTTCTTCTTCAATTTTTAAGAAGAATGTATATAATCAACATTTACAGAGAGATTCACTGAAGATTAAGCCTAGATTGGACTCAAAAAGTCTGCAGATAAAATTTGAAGCTTAGAAAGTAAAGGAACAACAATAAATTATCTGTACATTGGCATTTACCCGAATGATATGTATTAAAACAAGAACTACTGTTTATTGATGTAATGGTTGATGATTAAATGGGAAAATGAGAATTTGAGTTATATGGACCAGCAGCTTCCAGATTACTAGCCACTGGTTCGAAGTTTGTTACCATGTTGTTTCTCACCTCAGCTTTCATTGTCCACTACATTAATAGTAGTCGTTTAGTGACTTTATCATGATACGCCAGTATATAATGCCAACTGTTTTCACTTCTCAGATAATTAACTTTCACTATGCAGTTGACGCTGTAGTGGTTCACCTTACTATGTGCTAGTTGGCTAATTATAGTCTTTCGTGGCAACTCTTTCCTAAATTTAGTTTTCCCTATAATACTCGTTCTTAGACCTATACGAGTGTCTTTAGATTTTCCGTTGGGCGTATTGATAAATCATATTATCTGGTACATTAGGAAATATGAAAAACTAGTAGGATTTACGTGTATACCACTGAAATCACATCAAGTACATGTTAATCTATTAAACTAAGGTTACCAGAAACAATCTAATGATTTTTGTTTACTTATTGTAACTCAGAGTCTGTTACTTATTTTCATTTGTCACTTGAGTACACTTCAGTTGTCAAACTAGATTTAGTATTTTGCCAGCTAAAATGATCTTTAGCAATAAACACTAGATGATCAGAAGACTTATAGTCTAAACAACTGATTTCAGGATCACATGATGAGCTAGAAACCATACTACTACCAGTGTTGTTCTGATAAAAGGGACAATTGAATTAATGGGCAATGCTACGATGATTCTTCATTACACTAACCATTACTAAAGCCAGCAAAATAAAATGGGCAGTAGAAGATTATTGTATGCAACCAATCACAGCATGAAAACAAAATAAAATCTGGGGTTTTATCTCTGATAAGAGCCACAATAGGACTTTTTCTGTTTTGAAAACAGGAATACAGTATAAACCAAAGAACACAATCAAACCAGTAGAATCTAATCGAGGTGAACAGAAACCTTAGAAAATAAATCTTGCTAAACAGTGACAATAAAGAAAGTAAACACAGTAGGAAAACAATACAGATTAACAAGATAAAACCGTTTTTAATGTTCGACACTAAGTGCATATGAGTGATAATGCTCAAATAGACTGAAAAAATATGGCATTAAGGGATTGATAGGAGAAATCAAAGGCTAGATACGTCAAACTTTCACCAATTAACTGATCGGTGTGTCTTAAATGGACTAAACACGTGCTATTTAACCCATAAAAGTTACTTTATTCCGCCTTGTGTAAGTTTGAAGACAATCATTTGACTAGATAAACTTATGCCTGCAAAAGGTAGGCATCTTGACACAGCCACATTGAAACTTGGTAGTATATAATGCCTAGATTTCATTTTATCCATTTGGTTGGGCTGTAATGGGAGAAAATAAGAGACTTGGAAAAAAACATAGTATTTACACATTCGTAGCCACATTAGAGTTCGGCTAGTTCAGAGTAGAATAGATAGTTCAGATTGTGCGGCAATCTGCTCAAGGTTGGAGAGGTTGTCCAGTGAGGTTATTTCACTTCTACAACTTAAACCAAATCCAGATTTGAGGAATAAACACCTCTACCCCTGCCGCCATTGACTTAAAATGTCGATTTTAGCTTTGGCGTCTTCCTACTAACCTGCATCACGCTACAAGGCCATAGTCAATATGAGCATCCTTGTTACAAGTAAACTGAATGCCTAAATAGTGTACCCCACAAGTTTTTTTTATCATATAGTTATTTTTCAAGTATTGGTTTTGTAAGGATTGTGCTTGATTGATTCGAGGGTTTCATTATGAGCTGATATCATGGTTCTTTAACTGACATCCTCTAATGATGAAACCCTCCAACCTCTTATGCAGTTATTTCTTTAAGAATAACTTCATCTAGTACTTTGTCGATATGGGATAAAATTGACGTTATGCATACATAAATAATACATCAGATCTAGGCAAAAATTGAGCTATTTGAACTAATTCGGCTGTTTAAGCTGGATTAAATCTGGTACACCACTGATGAGCTCGGTCCCAAAAGAAGGAAACAGCCATTTGGTATTTACACCATTTTGATCTGGCTAGCGAGCACTACTGGTTGCTGTGGATGGTCTGCAACTACTCATCTCAGTCAATCAGAAGTACACAGTCTTGCAAATTTATGCCCGTTTTATTGATTGTGATATCAAGCAGACCACATAAAATGATTATAATAAAGGTTTTTGTATTTCCCAATGAATGAAAAAGAAATCGATATAAAATGATGTCAATAATATTCTCGCCGACCATGCACATGGTCTGAGGTTCGATCCCCTACCGACGCACACCTGATATCTATGGTCAGCCTGCAAAATTCCATACTTGTACCAAAAATACAGTGTGGAATCAAGCTGTAATCCAAAAAAAAATTGCTAATGTGATGAAATATATCGCGTTCAAGAAAAATGAAACCAAATTAATTTTATACTTAAATCAAATATTAAATGACTGAAATAAATTAGAATAGTTTTTGTAATCTACCTACGCCTTTTGGTATTATATATTTGAATACGTCCATTAGAATATCTTCAAAAATGTCGAATGCCAGAGCATTTTTCATGGCTCTGTCAGCTAAAACTGTGCACCAAACAGTTCTTTGTCCTTTATTAATACTACTTGTTTCAAAAGGGCTTTGGATATTATTGTCACGCAAATCATTCGTCCAAATGAATTCTTCCGGTTGAATAATTTTATTTAACTTTGAAGTGATGAGTTTCGGCGTGATATGACCAAATGTTTCGTCCCCAATTCCTGTTTTTAATTTAAGGGTAATGAGACCAAAATAAAAATAATATCAAAATTGTTATAATTTGTGGAGTCATTTTGACATTAAATTTAACAGTGAAAATAATTTTTGCAATAATTATTTCACATTCTAAAAGTAAACAAATTTATATGTTGGTAAATATGTCCAGTCCACCTTATATCTTCAGATTAGGATGGTCGCTTCATTTGCACCATTGATAGCTCACTCAAATAATACAGAGTGTACTCATACAGAGTGTAACTTTCAGTTTTCCCCATTTTAAACCTTATTTTTCCACCCAACTATGTAAAATATGAAAGTGAATTGGGATAGGCTATAAAAATAGCAACCGTGCCCATAAACGTATCAAATGACTTAGAACACCACCTTAATGGGTGCCATATTGATTAGTCATATCATAAGCTACGAATACTGTTCACACATAGTGTTGGTGAACTCATGTGGATTTTGTCTTACAGCTCTGTGTCAAAAACAGGAGCCATGTGGCAACAATCAGAAAACAGTCTTGTAGGGAAGACTTAACACCTAACTGAGTTAGCAGGAGAAATTCGACTTCATTTTAACAGCGACAACGGATCTCTGCAAAATCTAGTTTATACAATGAGTGACATTTACGCTAAATGGTCCGACAGAATATAAGGAACATCTTTCCGCATATTTAATTGAACTTTTGATTTTCCTGTCGATTGATTGGACCGAAGTGCTCGGTCTCAGGTTGACATGTCGGCTTCTTGTGCAGATGCTTCGACGATTTCTGGGCCTTTTTAATTAGTATTTAATTGGTGGATGGTGGCTAGCAGTGGGATCCAGGATGCACATTTCGTCCTATTTGGGACCCCTCATCTGGATGTACCTGCATTTCTCAGTCAGTGATGATGTACCCAGAGACGCTCGAACCCAGTGCCCAAAGTTTCAAACGCCAAAGCGTTATCCACTAGACCACTTGGGCCACGAGAGCCACCTCTTGTGCAATGGGTCATATTAATTTAATTGAATTTTTTTGATTTTCCCATCGATTGATTGGACCGAAGTGCTAGTCACCATCCACTAATTAAATACTAATTAAATGCCCAGACATCGTCGAAGCATCTGCACAAGAAGCCGACATGTCAACCTGAGACCTGTGCCTCGGTAGCACAGTGGTTAGGACTCTCGCCGACCATGCACATGGTCCGAGGTTTGAGCCCACGCCGACGCACACCTGATATCTATGGTCGGCCTGCAAAATTTGGGCTACCGATATCCATGCTGAAAATTCCATACTTGTACCAAAAATACAGTGTGGAATCAAGCTGTAAATCAAAAATCAAAAAAAAAATCACTTCGGTCCAATCAATCGACAGGAAAATCAAAAGTTCAATTAAATATGCGGAAAGACGTTCCTTATATTCTGTCAGACCATTTAGCGTGGATATCGGGATTTCTGTAACCACCTTGAAGGAACTTATTTTAAGATGTACAATGAATGTTCATTTCTTATTCAATAAGGAATATTACAGACAAATTGATGGTGTGGCTATGGGTTCCCCATTAGGTCTAATCGTAGCTGATTTTTTCCTCGCTAAATTGGAGAATGGACCACTGAAAGGAGTAATTAATTACATGGATTTCTACTGTCGATATAGGGATGATACATTTGTGGTTATGAAAGATGATAATGATGCAATGAACATCCTTGACAAGTTTAATGATGCCCATTCAGCAATAAACTTTACCATAGAGAAAGAAATTAATGACAGTATCTCTTCCTAGACGTCTTCATGGTAAGGAGAGAAGATGGCACATGAAGAAGGAGTGTGTATAGGAAGCCTACAACAACAGGTCACCACACCCATTTTTTCAGTTTTGTACCTTTGAAATATAAACGTAACCTCGTGAAGTGTCTGGCTCATAGAGCTAGGTTAATCTGTTCAGACGACTGCCTCAGTGAGGAGCTTAAGATTAATAGAGAATTACTTAGAAAAAATGGCTATCCAGATAAATTCATTGAGAAAAATATAAATTCAGCTCCAAGGAGAGTCAGTATGGCCACAGTCCCGAAAAAACCAATGTTCATAAAATTGCAGTTCCTCGGTGACAACATCAGCAAATTAATAACACAGCGCCTGAAGAATGCAGTTAAAAGAGCTTATTATGCAGCAGAGGTACGTTATCTCTTTACAACCACACCTATTTTATGTTCGAGAAATAAGGATAAACTACCTAAATTCGCCTCATCTATGTGTATCTACCAGTTTGACTGCAGCTGAGGAGCCAGCTACATTGGGCGTACAATTAGGCAAGTTCATCGTCGTATTACCGAACACCATCCAACGTGGTTAAGTAAGGGACAAAAGAGATCTATTCGTAGCTCTAGTTTAGCTCACCTCGATGATACTGAGCATAAGATTGCTGTTAATACAGCATTTAAAATTATTTATCGCATTCCAACTTATCTTAATTTTGCTCTGCGAGTTCGTCTTCTACAGATGGCTGAGGCGATTGGCATTCATCTGAAGAATCCAAGCCTATGTGTACAGAAAAAATTTGTACAGCCACGTTCCCTACCGTGGCCATCGTCACAAGAATGGATAAACAGGACTGCGTCGCCCCCCTCCCACTAAACCTATAAAATTATATTTATCTAAATTGTTTATTTTATTTTATTTATTTTGACCACTTCATCTTTAATTTACGTGTTATTCTTGTAAAATTAATTTATTCTATCCATTTCCACCTTTTAAATCTGTATTGATTTTCTTCGTTAACTATTAACCCATTGACACTGTTTAATTATTGTTAACAAACTTATCGCCACTTGATTGGAAAACTGTTGTATTGTAATTAAAATGCTATATATATTAGAGTAGAGCCAAAGATGAGGATCGAATTGAAAAGTAAATATTTCTTCGCTTAATCTTTCTGTTTTCTAAATGTCTAAATGGGGATTTTTTCTTTATTGAAATAATGATAATGATAATAGTTCAGCTTCAGAAAACAGCTGCAATGCAACAAGAGACAAAAAATTTTCGCCACGTAAACGTGACCACAGTTCAAATAGGAGTATTTTTACTATACATACGACTCAGTGAAGTTATTACTTTATTAAAAGCTATACCATCAAGGCTGTGTTTGTTTGAAATAAAGTTCTGATAAATATCTTTGAGCGTCTCCAAAAGTAGCTGAGGTACCAGATCGTTTTTCAGGGTATTATTGATCAACTCAAAGCCATATTGAAGAATCACATCTCTTCCCAGACTGGTATTTAATTCCGCTGCATCCACACGCATTTTAAGGATCTCTGGAAATATCAAAGAATATTTCAACAATGAGGTTTTAAATAAATGGAATAAGCAAATAATGCTACGTAAAGTCCCAAAAGTACTATTTAAAACAGATGTTCAAAAGTTTGGGAGAGTCTTTTGTGATATTTCTACGTCATATCAATCAACATTAACTAGCTTTCAGTATTCATAAGGACTATCTTAAAGTAGTTATTATAATAACCGTAAAAATAATCAATAAGTACGTAGCAGACGATAAATGGTTTCATTCACTTGCGAAGCAGAACAATGTGATTGAAGAAATAACGTTGAAATTCAAGCAGAAATGAACCAACTTAGGTTTCTGCGTATAGAAACGTGAAAAAAAGTGGAACATAATAGTATAACGGTTCACAAACATGGGTATGAGATAACAAAATGAATAAATGAATCCTACTGAACTTTTAAGTATGACAAAGAATAAGAACACAACTGCACCATTGTAAACAATTTCAAGCTGTCTCACTCTATGCCTCCACCAATTAATTTATTACATTCGCTAAGTGCTAGTTCCAAAACGTGCACCTCCGTGAATTAACCAGACTAACAATAAATGACCTAAGTGCAGCAATCTTTTCTTAAAGTGCTCATTTGTCGCACGACTTTTGTCGGCATGTTTTTTTTGGAAAGGGTGTTGAACCTTGACTACTTTATTGTTCTCCAGGCATAATTTCCTAATACACACGAAATTGTTTCTAAAATCATTGCTGACTTTAGCTTGGTAATTAACTGAAAGACAGTCAACTGGGGCAGTTTCAATGTAGTGAAAGACAATAGCAGTAAAATGGGAGTTAATTTTATCTTTACTCACAACGATATTACACAGATATAGTAGTCAGATATATTCAGTAAAGTATAACATAAGTAACAGTACTTTATAAACACTGTGTTCATATTCATCTTGCAAATATTTCTCTACCAACCTTTTCATCATTGAATAAATATAAGCAAATAAAATTCCCTGTAACTTGAAATAATCGCTCTGTGTATTATAATGAAACTATTTTACTAAGTCTAGTCACGAATACTATTATCGTCATAATTAACCAAATAACGATATAAGTGTTTTTTCGCAATTCACTTATCGCGTGTTTCAGAAGTTTTTTTCTACGGACATATCTCACTAAGTCTTTGAGTAAATGCAACTCAGTCTGCTTCGATAAAATTAATATTTTTTGAGATCATAATTTTTATTGAGTTTTCATGAAGCTAATTACCCTAATAATTTGGAGTAGGTCTGAAACAGTAAAAACAAACTTCTCTTTTGCTAGATAGATTAGTGCCTAAGTTGCCAAAGTATAAGTCTGAATAAACAAAGAAATCAAGTGAACGAAACGTAATGATAAACTAACCATTATTTTGTTTATTTGAAATTCACTTCCTCAGTTTAATAAACTCCCTTTGCAGAGTAAGTCAATTACTATCACGCTTTCACTTACTTTCTAGTTATCACCTAAACTATAACGATAAGCTATGGGACCATGCCGTCTTCCCAATTATTGTGAAAAACATGAGTTAGTACACAACAAATAATTCAACTAGGTCCTAAAACGTCAACATGAAGGTCCATAATATTTGTCAGGGATACTTATAATATGAGAAATGACTCGTTATTGTAACTGTCAGGCATATAATTTGATCCCTATAGATACATTTACTTCCTTTCTAAAAGTTAAGTGGAATGGCTTAATTATGGGAAAATTACAGATGATATGTAAAGAACTGATTATGAGTATTTAATTAGACAATGAGGAAAATTTGAAAACTCGGAACAAAAAGTGTGTGTGCAGAACACACCTATTCAAATAAGAAAACATTTATTTAAGTGGGTCGTTCTTCAGTAAATCACACATCAAAGCAGGTTTATTTAATAAGTATTAGTATGGAGTTACATGTTATATATATATATATACTGAACCACTTGTCGTTTTATTTAAACACTTTATGTGGTTACTAAGCTGTGGTTTCAGACATGCAGGCGAGAAACTGGAACATTTAACCGAATAAAAGCTATTCTCTTTCACACTAAGAGATTATTCTAGCAGATATTAATGCGCATTTCCGATAAATGGGGGGAATAGACGGCATTTCTTCATGAGCGTTTTTGCCCCATTGACTCACTTAGTTGGTGAGACATGAATTTATCAATAATCAGTTATTTATTAATTTAGTTATACTGCAGTCTAAATACTCCGAAAATAGTTAGTAGTGAGCTGAGTAAAATGAGATGACTAGTGACTTATGGTCTGCATTTGATGGAGTACCAATAATGTAAATATTACCCACATTAATGGGAACATATATATATATATATATACAGTCAAATTAAGTACCGCTTCTACATTTTACTTGCAGAAATGAAAAAATCTAAGTATAAAAAAGTATCTACGAGACATCCAAATGCAGATTACGACTTATAGACCTATAATGTATTCATTTAACTAAACAGGTAAAAGAAGCGATTGTACATTTATGAAAACTGCAGTTTTAAATGGTTTCATTGATATCAGCATTTGACAGTAAATGAGGCGACGTGAAAAAGGCATCCTAAGGACCCTCCAATAATAATGACACTAAGGGTAACAACACAGTTGAACAAAGTTCTAAAGAGAATAGGCGAAAAGCCTCGCAAAAATATTTTCAGCAACCTATTGGTTGATTTAGATAATTAGGATATATAGCTGTTGTTGTCTGTGTTAATCCTTACAGTATATACCTCTGCAGAGATTTAATCTCGCTTTGAAAGTGTTTACCGGTGGAACTGTACCTACTGAATCAGGAAGGGAATTCCAGTCGTTGACCACTCTGAGAGAGAATCTAAACTCTACATCTATTTTGTTCATCCTAGGCTTGAGCACCTTTTTGCGGTGACCCCGTAAATGTATCCTAGAAGAAGAGAAAAGGTTAGAAATGTGAGTGTCTAAATCACCCTTTTATATACGCTTTGCGAAAATTAAGTTGCTTCTCCTCCTTCCATATGATAATGGGAAGAGATTTAAATGCTCAATCGTCTTATTATTAGTTGTGAGATATCACCAAATAATTCGGTTCCTAACTTCTTTACGTTTTTCAAAATATGTGCCTCCTTCTTGAAGCATGAGCTCGTCGCTTGTATGCAGTGTTCTTAATGAGGCCTGATATAAATTGCATGGAGTACTTTGAAAACAGACTCATCTAATCGTTTGAAAGCACTTCGTCGCGCTAATAGCATTGGAAAAGCCTTAGCTACAGCTCTATTTCAATTTGCTGTTGTTTTTAAGTCATGACCCACAATAATTCCTAAATCATTTTGTCCTTCAACATCTGGAAGCTCTGTTTCTCCCAGGAAATAGAGCTGTTAAGACCTCTGGCCTAAATGCGTTAATGTCCCTTTCTTGGAATTAATTTTCAAAAGTTAGCCTATTCGGCTGATTTAACGAGATCGATTTGTAATACCAACCTATTATTATTATTTACAGCTTTACTTATCTTAATATCATCAGCAAACAATAAGGAAGAGGAACCAAGCTTACTATAATTCTGAATTAAATCTCACTAATTCTGAAATAATCCTAACATTCCATAATTTACTCACCATATGGTGAGCAAATTATGGATCTTTTCTGTGATGGATTCTTTAATGGCACAGAGTATAACTAAGTGCTGGTTTTCAGCATAACGGGCACTAATTCGGCACTTTATCTAGGCATTTTCAGGAGTAGATCAGAACTTACTGGGTTTGCTTTTCACCATTATTCCAGCCCTCACGGGACGAATTAAGAGTTAATTCAGAACTAAAAGGCATAATTCAGTACCCAGCTCTCTTTTTAAGCACTACCAGCGTTATTTCAGAACATGGTGGGTGGATAAAATTTTCATTTACTATAAAAAGGTATTATCGAAGAATAGATTAGAATAAGTTTCGAATAATTGTTCGCTTGGGGAGTCAAGAAGTTTTGGTAAATCATTGGTATTGAAAAAGAGCGTGAACCCAATCGCACACAAATTGTAAAAGTGGGTGAGTAATAGAAAAATGCCTGGCATAGACAATAGTAAGAAAAATAGTCATGTTTTGGTTGTATGACAGTTTCTCCAATTTTAAAAATGCACAACTGTCCTACGTTTAACCACTATTTGCCATTTGGATCTTTATTAATCCGATAATGGCTATAATTATAGCCATTATTTTACTACTCTTCGGTCATTTTTTCAAATAAATAACATTCGTGAAATGATTGACCTTTATGCAATCAAAGTAACACATATGTAAAACATAGAATAATAGTGATTCTAGGCCAAAGAGAAAATCAGCGAGATTTGCAAGCATCAGGCAGAGACCATTTAAACCCACACGGTCTCGCTGCTATGGAGACAACCTTTCAATATCCAATATCGTTTTTACGAGGTAGTATAAGCCAATTTACAATACATTATCGTTTCTAAGAGCCAGCACAAACCAATCTGATTTATTTTTGCTCGCCTCTTGATTAAGAGGCAAAGGTTCCTGGTCTTCGATAAACTTCTGCGAAGTTCGTCCCTCCATTCGACTGTCGGTCAGCTCCAAGTGGGGTGGAGCTGGGATTAATTACATGTTTTTTGTCTCATGCGGTGTGTTAAGACAGGCACTACTGTGAATGGAGTTGATCCTTTTACTATTTAGTCCTCTATTATCGTCGTCAAAAGAGAAGAGATAATAACATATAATTAGTGTAGGTTACTCAGACTAAAGGACAGGAAAAGAAAAGACAGACAGCTGATTAAATTTTCAGTTGACATATGTATATACACATGTAAATATATATGTATATAATATCAGTAATAATAATAAATGTCAGAGTAGTAGTTGGAGTAGTCACGTGAGTAAGACAGGATTGTATGTGAAGACCTAAAACGAATAATCTAGTTGTCTACCCCTGAAATGTGTCTGTCTGTTTTCGACATAGAAATTTTGGTGGACAGGTCGTTTGGATGCAGTCCTTGTCTTATTGAATGATTGTCCAGCCTTCGCTTAAAGGTTTCCACAGACAGTGTCATAGCTACATCCGTCGGTAAGGAGTTCCAGGGACAACAAACCCACAGTGATGAGAAGTGGGAGCCCATCCGGGTCCTTGCCCTCGGAAGAGCTATTCTTTTGGGATTTACATGAGGTAGTCTATACCTACTAAGTGGGATAACACCTCTTTAAGGTGATTGTGGTCATCTGTTATCTTGTAGGCAGTAATCAAATCCGCCCTAAGCCGACGGTAGCTATATGCGAATAGGCCTAATTTCTTCAGCCTTTCGTCACACAGTTTATTTCGGAGACCCACCATTCCTTTTGTCGCCTGTCTTCGGACTCTTTTCAAGAGGTCTGCGTCTCTTATAAACAGTGGAGGTGCAATAATATTATGCGCTTGCAGAGGTCAGTCATAGAAATATCTTCTTTACAGAAATCATTCTCTAGGTTCTAACTCTAAGTGTCAATGGAAGAAACATTTACAGAAAAATATGCAAGCACCAGTTTAATATCGACAAAAGTACAAGGTATCGGCCTAATTATGAACATGGAGCATCTAGTTGATTGAATGACCTTCAGAGCTCATGTAAGAGGCACTGCTCAGGATTTTCTGTCACATTACTGCTTAGGCTGTGCCCAGAGGTAAACTGGATCCATCATTGGTTATCAGCAATGAAGTAAACATCGTTGCGTAATAATCCGATTTCTCACACGTTTTTGTGTAGCAGGGAGGATCACGTTTTGTCACCATAAAATCACATTGTTTGGAGGGTTTACCCCCTTACTTCACTGTCCTGACCTCTGACATTATATCTACGTTATTCTTTGCGTTCTCGAAATGGTCTTCCGACACATCCGCCTTTGATTCCGAAAATGCACTTAACTAGATGGCAAGTAGTAAAAACAAAAACATTTTTCATGTGGACTTGAACAATTTTTAAAAATTAACTTAAACATTTTCCTCATGCATATGCCTTGTTTAATTATTTCTTTACTTCCTCGTTTCACAAACGGCCTATTTGCACTTATATGACCATGAAGAAAATCAAAATCAGTAGTGGATAGGAAAACTTTATTAGAACTGGCTTTGATACCCACTGAAAAAATACTGTCCCTCTATTTCACTAAGATGATGAAAGCAGAAAACTAAGAGAGAGAAGCGGAGCAAAACTGGACAGAAGGGTTTTTAGGGGATGGACTTTGTGTGGAGACAAGTAATATGTCAGTCATCTGATTAATTGCATCAACAATGCTTATTTGGAGTTCCAGTCAGTCAAATGCAGTGTTCGCTAAGCTTGAAATGTGGTGTATCCTCATGCGAACAGTGCTTTTGGTCCTGGTCCATGCTCTAAAATTAACTTTTATTTTTATTGGGCCAATGATTGTATTTTCTCTGTAATTGCGAACCATTTGTGGACGGGCCGAATTAACGAAGATTTCAAGGGGACAGGCAAGTACTTCCATTGTGTGTAAAATTTATTCTGATAAACTCTTACGATGTTAAACAAATATATTTACTGGTAACACTTCAAGCACAATCTATTCCTCATAATCATATCAAGGTACTCACACAACTTTCTTGCTTCATTTATATACATCAGTAAAAGTTGACTAGACACATGAATAAAATCAATAAAAGTCTCGCTTAAAATAGAAAGAAAGATAAAGCACATTCCGAAATAATATTAGTGTTATCAATAAATACGAGTGTTGTTAGTCAACAAGATGGGAAATAAGATGTTCTTTTAGTAAGATAAGTAACTTGTTAGAATGTGAATTGAAATACATTTTAACATTATCCATTACCCTCTGATTTGACTGGTAATAATATCTTCCATATGTCTGGTATTTGCGTTGAGTCACTTCTGTTATATGTGTTGGATGTAGACTCGATGAACCAGTATTCAGTAATCAATCTCTCTCTCCGTCTACCTATGTTACTTTTTAGAATTCTAACTCTGTCCCACTCTGTTGTCTGGTAGTGTACTAATGTATGCAGTGCGATTGCTGAGTTTTCGTCTAAACTACTTATCTTGACGGGGTCAATCATTCTAACCTCATCTAAACTCTTATGTTCTGATAACCTGATTGCTCCTGATCTACTAGTTTGACCTACGTAGTTGACCTAACTCAGTCATTGCAGGATATTTTGTAAATTATATTATTTTTTCTAATTGGGTCAACTGGGTCCTTTAACCTACAGAGCTCGTCTCTGAGTTTGTAGATTTAAATGCCACTGTAATTCCTGCTTTATAAAGAATCCTACGTAGGGTTTCAAACTTCCCCTCTTTATATGGTATAACTGTAGATGCCTTATATTCCTTGTTTTTTATATTATTAGTTTTACTACTATTTTTACTTTGCTTTTGGCCTTTTTGATCTGTCTAATGAATTTTTTCGGATAGTTACTTAATGCTAACGCCTCTTCTATCTCTTTCATTTCATCATTTGGGTCTAGTCAGTTTTTACTCATGGATGTAAATGAAGCAAGAAGGTTGTGTGAGTACCTTGATATGATTATGAGCAATTAATTGTACTCGAAACGTTATCAGTAAATATTAGTGCATACCACTGAAACGTTATCAATATAAATTTTATCCATAATGGAACGATACTCTACTACCATGCCCAAGTTTTATTCTTATATTAACGTTATTTCCTTTTTGTAATACCCGTCAACTATTTAGGAAAGTGGGTACTAAACAAGCTATTTTTCGTTCTGCTAAACACTTAACTAAGCCTGCCTTAACAGTTAACGGATGAGGTGAATTAAAGTCCTAATATCTATTAGAATGCGATGGTTATTTATAAACGTTTGTGTGCACTTTTCCTTATTCTATTCCTTTTATTTTACAGACCAGCATAGTCAGTTTCCCTTTTTTCATTTCTGGATTCAAATTTGGATTTGAATCTATTTAATAATGAATCTATATGTGTTAAGAATTTAGAGATATGTTTTGCTTTAACGCTGTGAATGTGTCGTCCTCATATCTCCGCCATATTTTTGGAGTACGAATCGGTATGCTATCAGAAGTGAACTGGCAGGATAATATCACCAAATATGGAATCGGCACACGAAATAAAGCCTACATCTTAATTGAAATCCTTCAGAATGCCAAACACAAAGTCACGCAGAGCGGCATATATTCACGAGACTCTTACCATACCTTCGAACACCCAACACCTCCCAAGCGACACCCGATGAAGCTGAAAAGGTTTCAGAGCTCACGTTCCTTTTACTTTGGAATCATCTCATAGCTTTGTCAGGATCTAATAATAATTTATATTTTCACATAAACATAAATTTGCACGGTGTAACCTCTGGATAATAAAACCGTCCTGGACCTAGTGTTGAGGGAAATATTAGTTCATTTTCGAAGTACCATGTTGATTGTGGGCTGGCAGTGGTGTCGCGGGCCCCTACAAATTCCTTTATTGTCAGAAAATTCCTAATTTCAATTGCAGGCATTTGGGAAGAAAAGGCATCATGGCAATGGAAAGGGAACTAAAGGGCAGGTAGACAAAACGATATATATATATAACGATATTGATGCAGACACTGAAATGGTGGACATAGATGAGTCAACGGGAAATAATGTTGAAATACATCGTTTTCACACTGACGCAAAAGTCAAGACACCGAAACCATCAAAACCCATCCCACTGGTGGTCCAACCATTGCCTTATAAGTCAGTTACTCCTCTGTCTGACAATCCACACTCTGTAAAGCACCAGTCGAATGTAGCCACCCAAGTTGGCAAGTTTTCTAGGCGTTATGACAAACGTCCCATTTCCATTAAGAAAACTAAAGCTCATGAGGTGTTCAAGCCACAGAAACCCTACATAGCATGTGCTGACTGCCCTGTTAGCCATCATCAGCCAGATAATCATAAGATAGGGGAAAAAGAAGTAAATAAATTAAATACTAAACCCGGAGCAAGAAAGCTCTTTGATAAGAAAGAGACGAAAGCACCTGTAGGCCTTCTTTGTAAGAGAAAGTCAAATATGGTAGACGAAGCTCCTAGGGGTAGGCCTAATTGGTGCCAAGTGGAAAGCCAATTTTATCGAATCCCTAATTCTAGACAAACAGCACAGCAAAGTAGTAGGTATTGTTCTGCACATCCACTACGTAAACCCCTTGTCAACCAGCCCACTTCTAATATTCTGTCTACTGAAAGTTATAGAAAATACCCCAAACATCGGCCACAGACCACATTTAGCAAGCCAACAGAACCCATTCATATATCTTATGTGTCTAGTGGGGAGCATGTGCCGATTTCTGCACAAAACTTGCCATGGTCTGATGAATACCAGAAACAGATACCAACACTTCATTCTTATACTGGCAACAAATTACCGAA